TTCAGTGGCTGATAACACTGGGTTGGCCAACGCAGCTGGGACCGTCCCGCACAGGCCCCAGTGAGACGCCTCTGTGGCTGTGCCCAGCATGCTGCGCCCCTGGGTGAGGCACAGGGGTGGGCCGGCTTTGACTGTCCCTTCTGGCCCAGACCGCCATGCCCCTGCTCTTCACCCTCTTCGAGCTGGCCCGCAACCCCAGCGTCCAGACGGCCATTCGCCGGGAGATTGCCGAGGCCGAGTCGCAGGGGCCACGGGAGCTCTCCAAGGTGCTGAACTCCATGCCCTTGCTCAAAAGCGCCCTCAAGGAGACACTGAGGTGAGGGCCAAGGGCACAGCCTCCGGGGCCCATGGGGAAAGGAGGGTGGGCTCTGCTGCCTGGGGCTCCAAGGGCAACTTCTCCATCATGCCAGGCAGTGGGTCTGGGGCTAAAACGCCTGCCTGTGCCTGTGCATCCGTCCAGGGAGTGCTGGGGACATGACTCTCGAGGGGCAGCCCAGCCCAGCGGGCCCTACAGCAGTGGGGTCTGGCCAGGCACGAGCGGGAAGAGGGCGTGGGCATGGCAGACACTGTGGGGCACAGATGGCTGGCGGATGATCCGGGATGAGGAGGGCAGCCGGAAGCAGGGAACGCTGGGTCCGTGGGGTTCAAAGCCAAGCAGCAGCAGTGGGTGAATGAAGGGCAGCGGCAGTGACATGGGGCTCCCCCCAGGGGCCGTTTGGCCTGAGCGGTGTCAGGCCAGCTGTCTAGATGGTGACGAGGGGGGTGACGAGGGCAGCCAGCTGACGGTGCGGCTCTGTTGGCAGGCTCTACCCTGTGGGCATAACGGTGCAGCGCTACCCAACCAAAGACGTGGTGCTCCAGAACTACTGCGTGCCGGCTGGGGTGAGTCCCTGCTCCTCCGCCCCCACCCCCATTCTCTGCAGCCGGGAGGTGCCCCCAGGAAGTGGGGGCGCTCACTGGCCCGGGGGTCAGGCTGGCTGCTCAGACACTGCAGATCACAAAGCGAGAACTCCTACTCCGTGCTTAGAAGAGTGTTGGGGGTCTGGAAGGGAACAGCACACCCCGGGCCCCATCCACAGCATTGCACCACTGCCCCAGCACACGAGGGCTTCTCACTGCCCCCGAAGCCGCAGGGACCAGCCGCGACAGGAAGCAGGGCACCAGAACTGCCCCGCAGCATGTGATGGGGTACGGCAGGGGACCGAGCCCTTTCCTGATTTGCCACAAAAAATCCTGGGTTTTGATCAAACCACTATTCACATTTGACCAATTTGTTTAACCTCAATTTTGACTTTTTTGGGACCTGAGTAATATTTCACAGGGGAAGCGGACGGGGCCAAGCTGAAGGGCTGTGGGTGGGGGGGTCAGTGGGGGGCTCTCTCTGCCAGGGGAGCCAGTACTCTTGGGGTGCAGCCTTCTGACCTCCACTTTCCTTGCCCTGTGGGGGAGTGAGACAGGCAGGGAGGGGAAGCTCCCTCAACAGCTACATGGCGAGTTCCCCTCCCCCTCCCCCCGCTGCTCTTTGTTTTCGGGTTTTGCTGATACATTGCAGGGACATTATAGAACTCCCACCCCAGAGGGCCACAAGGGCCCATGGCCTGCGTCAGTGCGGGCTGGGGGGAGAGGTCACCCCCTGACTTCTGTTGGACAAAGCAGCAGCTGTTGAAATGACGGAGGTATAAACCAATCAGCTCTCTGTATGCAAGCGAGCTTACATCTGATTGGTGGAGCCTAATGGCCACCCTCTCCCCTCTGCTGCCCCACAGACCCTGTGCCAGGTGGGGCTGTACGCCATGGGCCGGAGCCCGGAGGTGTTCAGCAACCCGGAGCGCTACGACCCCATGCGCTGGCTGAGCAAGGAGGATAACAGCTTCAAGGCCCTGGCCTTCGGCTTCGGGGCCCGGCAGTGCATCGGCCGCCGCTTGGCAGAGACCGAAATGATGCTGTTCCTCATGCACGTGAGTCGGGGAGAGGTGGCAGGGCTGAGAGCCGGAGAGCCAGGCGGCCTGGGGGCAGGCCTGGGGCTGGCCCGAGCTCAGGGGGCTCTCACTGTACGTTGGCCAAACGTTACACAGCTCAACTTGTTTGTTGGTACTTCAAGAAAAGGAGAAAGTATTTGTCACTCTGTGACCTTCCCACACAGCTCGGCCACTGTCCCCTGCTATCCCAGCCCTGGGCTCCCTTCAGCTCTGTACTATGTGCCTCAGTCCTGACCCGCAGCCCCCTTACCTATTCCAGGGCTCCCCCCTGCTCTGCTCCTCATCCCTCCGGCAGGTTACTTAGGAGCTTGCATTCTTCTTCCATCTGCCCTGGACTGAGCAGGCCCCGTAGCCCTTTCAGACAGAGTCAGGAGTGACCAGCAGAAACGAGCCAGTAAATGCCCCTGTGCGATCCCCTCCCAGCCCCACGCTCTGCAGCATCTGGGTCTCCCAGCCCCACATACCGCAGCCCAGCCCTGCTGTGGCTCAGACTAGCTGGCCAGATCCCAGCCCAAGCTGCTCCGGTGTCACACCAGCTGCCCGTCTCCTTTCAGGTCCTGCGGAACTTCCGGATCGACACGGTGTCCAAGGCCGATATTAAAACCGTCTTCGGGTTCATCCTCATGCCGGAGAAGCCGCCTCTGCTCACGTTTCGGCCCATCGACTGAGCCCCTCACCCCGGCTCCCCACCTGCTCTTTCCACACCTTGGGCATGGGGGAGGGGAGGAGGAATCCAGCAGTGAGGGGGCGGGAAGGGGGGGCTGTGCTATCGAGACAGACCCCTCTCCAAGGCAGGGCATCGAGCTGGCAGCCCCCCCCCCGAACATGCCAAGGCAGCCTGGTACAGAGAACAGCCTCCCCCCCACCGTAACACAGAAGTAGGTGCAGACCCCAGAGCCTATGGGCCCACCAGTAGATCCTGGCTGCGTGCTGGGGTTTGTAGTCTCTATGGGCTACATAACGTGGGAGGAGGGGGGCCTGGGGCCACAGTTCAGCCACCTCTGTCCTAAGAGCATCCAGTCCCCGTTTGCCCATCTGCCAACAGGGGAAAGGGGTCTCCTTCCCCGGGAGAGACCCAGTGCTGGCAGGAGACCCCACCAGCAGGGTGGAACCATAAAGCCGTGGGATGGGGCAGGAGAAGGAGGCAGGTCCTGTTGGGAGAGGAGGAGGCAGAGGCGCCAGCTCCCGAATTTCTCTTATTCAAAGAAGTGGCCATCCCTCACTTCATGTCAATGGGGCTGAAGCCAGCACGATGGCCACCGTTTCCCTCTAGTCCAGCTGCAGGTGGGAAGGAGGCTGCCCTTAATAAAGATGGCTGCCATCTCCCACGCTTCTGTATGAGGTGGAAACTGTGCCCCAGGCAATGTGGGTCAGGGGGCTGGATGGGACACAGGGACTGTGAGGAGCAGCAGAGACCAGGGGGAGGGGGAAAGTGAGGGGAGGAAGATGCAGATTTATGGGGTGCAGGGGATGTTGGGTGCAAGTGGGAGGCTGGGGGCTGCAGGGGAGGTGGGGGGTAGGGGGGAGGTGCAGGGGACAGTGATGGGGTGGGAAATAGAGGGGATTGGCTATCAGCTCCCCCAGCCTGCGTGTGTGGGGGGAAGGGGCGTCCCCTCCGAGCATCCAGGGGAAGGCCATGTTACAGCATCAGCAGCTCTCAGTAACTGATCTTGAGTCCTGGGATTTTGCTGCCTGCAGGAGGCGCTGTCATGAAGCCATGATTCACACCCAGGACTTTCAGGGCTGGGCAGGCGGGCAGAGCTCTGGGGCTGAGGACACAGACCTGACCTGCCATGAGCCCTGCCGGGGTGTGACCCTAGAGCAGAGAGAGGAGCCTGGAAGGGGGGGCTGGGGGGCTGCTGAGACCCGCCCACAGAGGCCCCCCGGAGCAGCAGGAGGCAGAGAAGTGAAGACTGTGCTGGGAAGTGGCTGGCTGCCCCCGGTCAGGGGTGAGATTGTCTCCAGCCGGGAGAGACGCAGTGTGATGTTTCACCCCAAAATTCTCACCCGCTGCCCAGCAGAGGAGTGGAGGGGAGTTAAAAAGGCAAAAGACAGACCCCAAACATCACTGGATTCTTTTTTTTAAGTCATGATTTTTGGGGCCAAGCTCCTGATGTTTGAGGGTCAGACTCATGGTTTTTGATCTCTGGGGGCTGGCGGTTCTGACGCAGGGCCCAGCCACTCCCATGGCAGGTCTAGCCCAGCCCTCGTTCTGCTGCCCCGTCTCACTCTGGGCGAACACTCTGGGCTGTAGAGCAGGGGTCCCCGAACTTCTCAGGGGCTCGCCCTCCCTCGCCCCGGCCGCCCCAGTACCACAGCTCCAGGGGGGGGGCATGGACGGGGGAAGGGGGCTGGGGCTGCAGCTGGAGCCAGGGACGGAGCTAACGCTGGGGTCAGGGCTGGAGCGGGGCTGGAGTGGAGCAGGGCTGTCCCCCCCCCAAACATTTCTCTGCGCCCCCCTGGGGGACTCACCCACAGTTTAGGGACCTCTGCTGTAGAGCAGGTGACAGCCTGAGCCCTGGTGGCCAATGCTGCCAGCCCTCTCCCTGCTCGGCTGCAGCATCTCTTCCCCTCTCCTGGGCCTCGCCTGTCTGCACCAGGCATTTGTCTGCTGCCGTGAGGCTGTAATATAAGTATTTTCTCCATTTGTTAAACTGTTCATCCATTTGGACTGAGGCGGAGGTGTGTGAATTTGGCAACCTTGGCTTGGCGGATGTATAGAAATAATTATTCTGGGTTTGGGTTTATCTACGGTGCTGATTGTCACGGAGCAGCACATAGGTGACATCAAGCCCCAGAGAACTGGTTTGTAAGAACTGGTGTCGTGCCATGTAAACTGAAGTGGAATGGGAGACGGAGTCATTAGACTAAACCAGGATCACTTGCAATCCATTTCCCTCCTGGGTGGGGGTTAACAGCAAGGTCTAACTAGAAACTCGTCTTTTTTCTTCCACTGAGCATTAATCGTCATGCACCAATGGCTGGCTGGCTGTAGGAGTTACAGTAACAAAAGGACAAATACATTAGCCATGGTAAAGGCAGACTTCAAGTTGCTTCACTGAAAGCTCTTTTTCTGAAGTCATTGACCATAAAGGCTACTCTGGTCAAATGTAGAGTAATGCTGGAGCTGCACCTCTGTAGGAATTCAGCACAGACACTGCGAGGCTCCCATGGGCGGAGTTAATCCACCTCCCCGAGCGGTGGGGGCTCGGTTGATGGAAGAATTTTTCTGTCCACCTAGCACTGTCTACCCCAGGGGCTGGGTCAGTTTAGCTACATCGCTCCAGAATGTGGATTTCCCCCACCCCTGACAGGCACAGCTATACTGCTGGAAATTCCTCGTGTAGACCAGGCTTACTCTGCCAAATGGATTCCCCTGCTCTGAATACTCTATAGCACGGGTTAGATTTCATTGTACCTCTTGCATATGTTGATAGGTGATTTGTTGTAGAACCTATGCTGCCCTGGCATTCAGGAGATCGCTGGTTCTTAGCTATTTTGCTTAAGGCTGAATAATAACTTTGAAAGCACAATAACAAATAGGTACGCTGGCCCTTGCCTATGCGCCACCATTTCCCTGTTCCCCGGGGGAGGAGGCCCTTAAGAATAGGAAGACTTAGTGAGGTGTAATGCATTGCAGGGCTTGGGAAAGCCACCTGAGAGTTGTCTACACAGGCCGTTATTTGAGAAGAGCAGTTCCTGAGTAACTCCCTGTGTAGACAAACCCCCAAAGTCAAACCCAGAGCTCCTGGCTGCACAGCCAAGTGTGGGTTGGTTTTTGTTTTTTTGAATAGCAGGGTTAGTAAGTATCACTGGTCCTTAGCACATGCTACTTGGCCAAATTAACTCAGGGCAGTTTCTTTACATAACTCTATACATAATTCATAATCTGACCTGCTCTCCGGGTTGTGCCACCAGTATTTTAGGTAACTAGTTGAACTGTGTGACTGCAATGATGTTTACATAAGCAAGTGACTTCATGTACATGGATCACTGACTTGGTACCTTCTGTCTGAAAGTGCATAGGGAACATAATCGAGAACAATTGAGGTTATCACCAGGAATGCAACTATTTTTATTATACACCCTATTGGAACTGCAGCGTAAAACAACAAAGGGGTTTAAACTGCTATTTTGCATGCAAAGTAATAAAGTCTGAAGATGAAGGGCCAATATTCTGCTGATTAAAGATTAACATTTGGAGAAATGACCTCAGCTGAGCATCCAATATCCAAACGACATGACAAAATGAGTGCCTTGTGATCAGAGCTCATCATATGAAAGTCTCTCTTGATTGGTTTGGTCTGTCTATGGTAGAGTTTGCACATATGAAACAATAATAGGAAAACATGTGAATTCAGTAGCATGCGCTACGCAGCTGTAGCAGGTACATACAACTGCACTAATGGAGTTTCCTTTTGTCGTTATGCCTTGCAACTCTGAGCCGCCTTTCTTGGACGTCACAGAAAATAAAGTGAATGTACTCAGGAGTTCTCTGGCCCCGTTTCCAACACTGAAGTCTTGTAGCCAACTCCAAATAATACAAAACTTTGTGCGGCTGGATGTGGTCGGATCTCTTCTTTCTGGAACCGCTTGCAGATCAGTGTGTATATTTCAGCGTTGCTCTGAATTTCCTTACCAGGGCCCCTCTTGTGACTCTCCAGGCACTCGTGACCCCCCTCCCTGCGGCGTTTTCTTTTTTGTAAGGATGCTCATAGTCCTGGGCGGGGCTGGCTGAGCCTGGTTTGCTGACTGGGACTCATGGTAGAGGGAGGGTCACCAGTCTGCAGGGCAGCCTAAATGCTTGGTCTTTTTCTCCCGCGGGGCTCCGAAGGGCAGGGTCACAATGTCCAGGTTTCCTTTGCCATGTTATGAATAATGCTCCCTGAGCTGGGAAAGCCGATACATTCTCGATATAACATTGATTTAAGCCTGAAATTAAAACTAGCCTAGCGGGGAGCTATGTGAATAGGGCTCGTGCTTAGAAATCTCGCAAAATCCTGCCCTTGTTTGAGGGGAGACGTAGAAACTAGAGCTCCCGTGGTGTTCACCTGCTGCTCTCCCCGGCTGGTTCCGTTTTCTGCTGGCCAAGCCGGGCTCCCGCTCTCTCCTGGTCCCGCGCTCTGACTACAACTCTTGCTTTTTGCAGTGAAGTTGTAGCTTTGTCGGCACTGGGTATTAGCATATGACTATCCCGGGCCCAGCACAACCACAGCTGCAATGCTAGAACCAGGGGAGATGCTGGATGTTGCCGTCTGAATGGAAATTCCACAAGGTGAAGAAAAAGGAAGCAAAACTTACCAGCAACCTCGACTTTCTGAGCAAATGCAAGAAATAGAACAAAACATCCTCCCGGGACTCGCCATCGCCAGCCCTCTGACCCCTGCCTACAGCTCTTGCTTCTCTTTCAGCATAAGTGAATGGCTACCTTCCTGTGGCTACCAGTTGCCACCTAGTGATAGGTGAGAGCGCAGTTATTCCCCTGCATTTGGGCTGAGTCCATATTACCTTGGATGGTGGGGGGCAATAACCACACTCGCTGGCTGCCATAGCTGTGCCGAGAAAGCCCCCAGTGTAGACACAACTATGTCAACAGAAGAGTGCATCTGTCGGCAGAGCTAATGTCAGGCGGGCAGGGGGTGGGGTGGTAGTGTAACGCTGCCTGCCG